AAGTGATGTGAGGACTCTAAAACTTCACCTGAGCCTCCCTCGGCATATGGGTGAGTAGATAATGGCTGAATTTTCATTTTTGGGTGCACTATCCCTTTAAGTCCACACAAGTCTGCTCCGATGCATCCCCAGTAAAAGGGGCGTGGCAAGAATACATACTGAGAAACAGCTAGTTTCCCAGCTCAGGGTAAGTCAAGTCAGAGTTCAGGATTAGAATCAGAGTTTGTTGAACCTCCTACCTGGAATACCCATCAGCACACAGCTCTCTGATATCACAAAGGCTGAATCCAAATGTCTGCACTTCACTGCACTCGCAGACTCGTGGACTTTGCGAGCGCGTTCACAGGAAGTCTGCGAGTGTTTAGGGCTCCAAATCCACAATTCATCCAGTCCACAGGGGCCCCCAGCAGACTCTCTGCGGACCTCCAGAGAATCTGCTGGGGGTGCAGACTTCACTAGTTTAATTGCCCACAATTCATTGCAATACGGATGTGACAATTTAATTTTTCTAAATTGCTTACAGAAAAACACACACACACACACGACCCCTTAAACTTATTATAAATTGTAATATTAAAACGTTGCTTGAATAACGCAGGCCAGATATAAACTGAACAGCATCATGATACAGATATATGCAGCAGTACAGGCTATACTGACTATAATCAATATGCATTTTAATATTGCAGCCTAGCCTATAGAAGCTGTGCAGTCTGGTCATGTCGGCGAGTGCTGCAGTAAAGTCTCTCAAATGTTCCCATGGAAATGAGTGAAACACACTCCAAGCCTGTCTGTTGGCTCCTTTTCTAACGCTGCAGACTCACGCTCTCGCACTTTACGTGATGACAGTGAAGACGTCACATTACGTACACCTGATGTCCGTGAGGGCTCAGTGTGCAAATCCAGAGGGTGGGGATTTGGATTCAGCCAAACACTTACTGAGACACTGAACATTGTGCAACATGTCGTCAGTCAGTTCAGAAGCATCGGAATCAGGACATGTGTGAATCAACACACGTGATGACAGTGAGAGTCTGAATGAGTGAACGTGGACAAACTGAAACAACACATTTTTCTGAAGAGGTCTCAAACTGTTCATGTTTTATAAAAGGATGAACGTCTGCAGAATGTGTTTGTAGTTCTACTATTGAGCTGATGGTTCTTACAGGTTACTGTGTGATGGTGTTATTGGTCCGACCCACCTGACACCAAACTGGCCTGTTTGTGGCCCGTGAAGAAAATGAGTTGGACTCCTGATGTAAGCAAAACTGTCACAGATACTCAGCAACATCATCAGAATCAAAAAGATTCCCAGTCAGGTGTGTGTGTCATCACCTGTGATCATAGATGTGTGTGTGTGTCATCACCTGTGGTCATAGATGTGTGTGTGTGTCATCACCTGTGATCATAGATGTGTGTGTGTGTGTGTGTGTCATCACCTGTGATCACAGATGTGTGTGTGTGTGTGTGTCATCACCTGTGATCACAGATGTGTGTGTGTGTGTGTGTCATCACCTGTGATCACAGATGTGAAAGCCAAAGTGACGAGTTCAGAAAGACAAAGTCAGGAGGAAAAACTTCAGATTCATGAACAGCAGATGTGATAAAAGTAACTGATTACTCTGAAGTACTCAAGTACAAACTCAGGATACTTGTACTTTCCCTTAGTATTCTTCATACTCTTCCTCCATCTGAGGGAAGTACTTTCACTGCACCACCTTCAGGTACATATGAACACACGAGTACACAACAGCACACACAGTGTCAGACTGACTCCTCACTGATGAACTCAGCAGCAGTGAAATTATATAATAATAAGAACATCTTTAATGTTGGTTTAAGTTTAAAATTAAAGTTCAACTTCACATTTTGTATTTTACTGTAACTGTATTTCTAATCTGAGCCCTCCGTCCACCTCTGAGGAGTAATGATGTAAGATAGGTGAGCTGATGAAACACACATCTCAGTAAACTCCTGTCAAGTTTGTGCTCAGCTCAGAACAAACTGATCAGCTGATGAAGGAAACGTCTCTGCTTGGACGTGTTGGTATAAACACAAAAACAAATCTGAGGTGAATCAATGTTTTCTTTTTATTAAAACAATGTTAGAATTGAAGAAGTTGTTTTTTTCCTTCAGTCAAACGTTGGAGCAAAGAGCGCTGACGTGTCTGACAGTCAAACACCTGCTGGTTTCTCTGAGGCTCTGAACAGGAAGAGGCGACCGTGGTGTTCTGGGTGCAGTACTCAGGTTGTCCAGGAGGTGGCGCTGCAGCTGCTTCCACATGTTTCTGTCAGACAAATAGGCGTGGTTAAATGATGAAGCTGACACAAACTGATGTTGCCTTCAAAACACGTGTCATCATGCTGCCTGACATCACACACTGGAGCCACGTGAAGCTGCCGCCATTTGATTCTGTGTTAACATGTGAAGGCGGGACTTCAGCAGCTCTGTGGTGCCATCTGTGTGAACATGTGTTCTCTCTTCCGTTATCGGTCCAACATCTGCTGTCAAGTTTTGACGTGAGCGACTGCGTTGGTTTTTGTGAGGCTGCACTTATCATAAATTAACTGATGTTAATGATTTATGATTCAACGTTCAGTGACGTGTTAACCAACAGTTTCAGACCGAGCTTATTATTTTCAAGAGCAGCTGATTATTTACTTATAGAGTAACTGTAGCTCCGCCTTTAAGCTCCTGACATGGCTGCTCAGTGGACCCTGTGTCTATGTCATGTGACCTCCAGTCAGCTGATGTGGGATCAGACAAACGCTCCGGTGGGTCTTTGTCACGGCGCCGCGCTCTGAGAACACTCTGCCTGAGGGCGGCGCTACAATTCGGCCTTTTGTTCACATCATCTCCCAGCTGACGTTAACCCCGCCCACTGTGACCTCTTCACAAAGGCAATGTTTGTTCTGGTGTGACATCACTCACCGCCACATTGGAGCCTCACGGACATCATCATAGCTCCGTCCTGGGGACGTCACAGGGGCGGTCCTGTAAGAGCCAATCAGAGAGCAGAGATGTCAGCAGGTGGAGACTCACCTGAAGGACAGGTGCACCTATCAGCTGCCTGGATCAGAATACGCTTCAGCTCGGATTTGTCACCGCCCCCACCCTCTGTGAACAGACTGCTGGGGGAGGGGCTTCAATCGGCCTTTTATGTCATCACTTCCAGGATCAGGACGCCTTGAGGAGCAGCTGACGCCAGCTGTTAGCCAACACACACCTTCAGACCCAACGCCATCAGCACTCGCTCTGCGCTCAGAGAACGTCAATAACAAATATTCCAACAGTGCTGCTGAGGGAGGGAAAATCAAAGGTCGTCACAAATACGTGTGTGTGTGTGTGTGTGTGTGTGAGAAACCCTGCTCATATCTAGTCCTAACTGTCAGCTCCGTTATTGTTAGGATAATCTGTAGCTATTGTTTTTATATTTGTCCGCTTTTGCTTTATGTTTGCTTTTTAAATGCATTTTCTGCACTGTTTTTAACTATTTATTGCCTCGTCTTAATGATCTCACACACAATGTTATTGTTCCTTTAATGTTTTATTTTAATGTATTTCTCTTGTAAAGCACATTGAATTGCCTTGTGTATGAATGGTGCTATATAAATAAAACTGCCTAGCCTAGTATAGCTGTAACATTACAGCTCTATATTTACTGCAGTAACACAGCTGAGTGCTTCCTCCATCTGTTGGAGTCATGTTTGTCAGGTTGGCTCCTTCTTTGTTGTTAACGTCCAAATGTTCAGCTGACGTGTTCTTCACCTGGTCTCTGACACGTTGTCTCTTCTGATGTAAACTGATGTTGGAAGCAGCATGCTAACAGTAGCTAGCATACGCTCAAAGACGAGCCTGCTCCCAAAGAAATGAATAAATAAACGCTCCACCATCAGGCTGAATTATCTGACGAGCGCAGGACACATGACCAACCTGTTGACCAATCAGAAGCCAAAAAAAGCCGTCCCTCCTTTCATATGTTAAAGATGATGATGTTAAGAGCCGACCTGCCCACTGCTGAACATTTAAAACTTATAAACTGAGACAAACAATTAGACATTTGACTTTTACTCCACCTGTTTAACAGTCTACAGCTTTCTGTTACGTTTACTTTTCCTACATTTTATTTATTTGTTGTGCAACTGAATTTATTTTAAAATTATTAACATGTAGAACATATATAGTCCATGTGATGAAACTGCACAAAGTAAACCATTAACGTAATCGCCACTCAGCTAGCGCATGCGCAGACAGGCGACAGGGTGATGTTGGCGCCACCTAAATGATACTGTTTTCAGTTTGTTAGAGCCATAGATACGTAATAATGATAATATTAATAATAACGAGTCTACGGTGGAAACACAGTTCTAACTCCATCTTACCGTTAACGGCTCCGTCGGACCCGGTAGTTCGGTGCTCAGTCCGCAGTGACAAACGTTAACGTTAGCCGTTAGCCATTAGCCACAGCTGCTAACGTTACCTGTTAGCCACAGCTGCTAACGTTGCTAACGTTAGCCGTTAGCCACAGCTGCTAACGTTACCTGTTAGCCACAGCTGCTAACGTTAGCAGGTCATTAACACAGCTCACCATGACCACAGCAACTCAGTGTGACCCGAACAACGTCACTTTGTTCGGCCGTAACATTTTTAGCTCTCGGACAGCTTCATGCTCTGACTACCGGTGCAGTCTGCGCCATGTTGTCTTTATAAGATCCATCAACCAATCACAGCTCAACATTCTTCATCTGTTTACACATCCGGTAACTTACCGCCACCTTCTGGACCGGAGGGCGCCGGGCGAAGACATATATACGTAGACGCCGCATCGAGCGCTGAGCCGTACGTCAACGTCGCCGCCATATTGGATGTGGCAAGGCTGAGCTGTAAACTAATACAAGTAAATGGACTTAATTTCATAAAGCGCCTTTCTACAAAGAAATTTACGTTAATGCCTCTCGTTTATTCATTCACACACACACTAATATACTTGGGAAACAGTTAGGCACCAAAAACAATGAATTTGATCTTCTCAGATGGCTAAGATAAGAACTTTATTGATCCCACACAGGAGCAATTCACCTTACATCAGCTATAGAGAACAAGGTAGTGCCGAAAAA